GTAGGTATGTGTTGATTTCATAGTTTGATTTAGTGTTTGATTCATGTCTTAATGAAGTTGTATACTCACTGTTCATATTGTTTCCTTGTTTTACTTGTTTTACTGATGGGTGTAAATTAAGAAGTTACCACACAAGCATAACTGTGCGAGCACAAGCAAAGTCCAAAGGAATTGTATGGCTACCAATCACTGGGTCAAAGACAAAGTTATAAACTGGCTCAGGGAGGATCCAACTCTTGAGGCTAAAGTTTTGAAGGATAAGTTGGAGGAGAAGTACTGCATCCAGTTGAGCTACTATGTTGTTTGGGCTGGCCGACAAATGGCCTTAGATGAGACAATGGGTGGCTGGGAGGATAGCTTTATACATGACTAGTTTAAAACATGTTAACCACATGTTTCATCTTGTAGGGTTCCAAACTCCCCAGTCACTAGGAGGCAGCGCCAAATAGCAAGTGGCAAATAGCCCAAGGGCAGTGATTAGGAGTCAGGCTACCTCAACGCTGACATCCAGTCCAAAGCATGCACTAGGAGCAAGAGGGCCCTGATGAATGTCTAGGCACTGCAAGCAACATAGGAAGAGAAGAAATCTTTTGAATTATGTGCTTTTGTGTGATTTTGTGTGCTTTTGAGCCACCTATGCCATATGAACTTGGCAGAACTTGGTATTGTAATGTATTAAACATGGTATTGTAATCTGTCATATGAACTTGGCAGAACTTGGTAATGTAGTTAACTTGGTAATGTATTCTTGTGAACTTGAAGGCTTGGTAATATAGTGAATTCAAGGTTGTTGTTACTTGTTATATGTTGCTGACCTTATTCAAGTTGGTCATGCTGAAAATTTATTAACATGGGCAATGTCACATAACTGCATTTCTTTCATTTCACAAACATTACAAAGCTAAGTTCATGCTTGGTTATACAATAACATGCACATGGTAACAAAGTATACAACTCCTACAAACACACTGGCCACATTCATCCACCTAAGAACTATCTGCTCTTTAGCTATTCTACCCACATCAACCCTCAGAGCTACTACAACATTGTTTAGGTTCAACACATAATTCTCCAAAGCCTTCAAGCCGGCCATCACTTCTGCAACATCCATGCCATCTCCTGCGCTCACTGGCTTCCACATGAAGAAACTGCACTGCGCGTTGCCCTGATCACGCCGAAGAACACAACATTGGGATGAACCCTAGATCCGATTTGAAAATGCCAAAATGGACCAGTAAGAAATGCAAATAACTCACCCAGTTATGATTCCTACAAGTGTAGAACTGCTTGTTTGGGTTGTTTTGGGTTCTAGACATCCACTCCACAATCGTCGTCGTCCTACAGAAAGGGCACATCGGCTGAGACTCTCTCGCTTCATGCGAACTTGTCGAGGACGAAGCGCCCGGGCCTGTCGCCATCTTCAACCGGCCTCTACTTGCTTTTTCATGTCGACGATGCCAGCCCGTCGCCACACCCGCGCGCCCGTCCGTCGCCGCCACTGCCTTTATCGTGGAGACGGGGAAGGAGACGGACCAGTTCTTATGGGTCCAACCAGACCAGGTTGGGGGCGGACCCAAGTGTGGTTCAGGGACACCAGATGTCCAAAGTGAAGTTTTCTCTCTCCTTAACCGGTTGAAACCGGACCGTGATGTCCTGTGGCCTAATTTCAACAAACCAGAGTATCCTATGGCAAAATGCTCTAAAGTGGGTGTCCACCAGTAAAGGACCATCATTTTAGATGTCAAACAGACAATTGTCCATTTATGTTTTAGACGAGCTGGAGTGAGGAAGAAGAGGCAGAGAGCCGTTGGGGAGGAAGGGGAAGGGTATAAATACCCCCAGCCCCCAACGGTCACTTAAATCGCGGCAGTACCGTAGCTCAAGTGCGGCAATGCCGCACCACGCAAGACAACAAGAGTAAGAGTGAAGTATAGACTGTCTTGGCTGTGAATCTGAGGATGCATGTGTATGTTTGAGCACTTTGTAGTACATATTAGCTTAAGCATTGTGTCCCCCTTCATAGTATGGCTTTTCCTATACTCAAATTCAAAATATAAAAGAATTTTAAACCTCCTTTGAGTTTGAAGCCATCTACATTTATAATTGGGGGCTCCTCCATTTCGTGTTGCATCCTCGAATATAAATTCCCTGCTTGTTATCTCGATAAATCTCATTAGTTCTCTAATTGCATGGTCATTATCACCAAAACCCATAATTAGAGCTTGATTGCACTTTCATGTAGGAGTACCACCACTAGTCAAATAAATGGATGATTCAACTAAGAAAAAACACACAAAAAAATCACTTTCATCTCTAAAATGTCATATTTTTAGACCATGTTTAGCATGGGTTCTTTGGAACCGGCCTCACTCGAGAAGTTGTAAGGAAGTCGAAAAAGTCACGTTTACGTGCCTTCACCATTATAGTAAGAAAATAGTTTCTCCACTCTACTTCTTCTCTCATACATCCATTCTTGAACTAGCATTTGGCAAAAACTTCACCTCAAAAATCGAAAAAGTCAGAGCTAAGGTCCCCAAGGAGTACTACCAAACCGGGCTTTACATGACCAGAGGTGGTAACACGCAGGTATAGGTCTCTTTTTTTCTACATGATCTCCAAGGCGGGGATGAAATGGCAAAACTATGTGACCTTAAGGCATGATCATGTGCATTGTCTCGGCATTCATTAATTCAATTATGGTGGGCCCTCGGTGTTTGATACCAGCGACTAAACTTTAGTCCATCACATCAGATATTTGATGCTAATTAGGAGTTTTAAACATAAGTTAATTATAAAACTAATTACATAGATGGAGGCTAATTTGCGAGACGAATCTATTAAACCTAATTAGTCTATATTTTGATAATATGGTGCTACAGTAAACATATACTAATGATGGATTTATTAGGCTTAAAAATTTATCTCATGAATTAGACACGACTTATGTAATTAGTTTTATAATTACCTCATGTTTAGTCCTCCTAATTGACATCCAAACATTCGATGTGACAGGACTAAACTTTAGCGAGAGGACGTCCCTATTGGTGGACCCGACGTCCAGAAACCTATCCGTTCCTATCCGCTCCCTCCGCTCCCCTCCAGTCATTGCAGATTAAAAAAAATCACGCATCACCGCAATTGTGCTCTGCGACCGGCTCTGCCGTAGCTCCCGCATGCCTCCCTCTCCACCGCGCCTCCCGCCGGCCTTCCTCTCCACCACGGTGTGCTCACTGCTCGAGGCCACACCACCCGACTGCTGTTGTCGCCTCCACCGCGGGCATTGCATGCGCCCTATCACCGGGGCAGTGCAGCCGCTCACCGAGGGCCACACAGCCGCCCCACCGCCATCCTCCTTCTCCACCGCGACCGCACAACCCGATCCCATTGTGTAGTGCTCCGCTCGCCTGGCTACCATGTTTTGCTGAAAGCGCATGTTGCAAACGTATGTTTCAAATGTTTCAAATGTTTCAGAGGTATGTTGTAAGTGTTTTAGATGGATGTTGCAAAGTAGATCGGGATGTTGCATATATTGCAATGGTTATACACGTATGTTGCAAAGGTCTATTACCAATGTTTCATCTGTGTTTTCCGGACGCATATTGCAAGTGTGTTTATCTTGATGTTGCATATGTTTCACATATATGTTGCATGTGTTTTATCGGGTGTTGCGTATGTTTATAATGATTTAAAGTTTTCCGTGTGTTTTTTTCAAGTGTTTCACAAGCATGTTTCAAATATTTCATCTGCCTTCAGACGTATATTACAACTGTTGCATTTGGATGTTTCAACAACAGATCGGGTGTTGCATCTCTCCTCCTCGTCTTTTGCTACATCATCTTGGCGTTTCATCCTCTCGCCACCGGCAGGGCATCCATACGATGACGTGGCTGACTCCTTCCAAATCGGAGGCGCCACCCCCTTCCCCTCTTTTTGCTCGGGTAGCGCGTGCCCGTGTGGAGCACACGAAACGAAGTGCAGGTGCGGTCGTCCGGACGTACGGTCGCTAGCACCGTCGAAAAATAAAAAGACAGAGTGGGAATGAACGCTGGTCGGTTGTTAACGTTGTCACGTGCCCATGGACCTCAGCTGGTCGGTTGTTACTTGAAGTAGGCCCAAAACATTTTAGTTTATATATACTCCTACATTAGTAACAGCCAGGGTACTGTCAAGTGAGACCCTCCGTACACCTGAAGAAGTTCCTCCAAATGGGCCCGTGAGTTTGTCTTATATTCCGCCGAGATATGGGCCGTCAAATGGAACAAAGAGGCAACGCATATGTTTGTTCTATCGGCCCAAGGACTAGGCCATTCATGTTGGGCTCTTGGGTTAATCCTGGCCTAGCATCACAGCCCAACATGATATCTTTTCTGGTTGGCACATCCAGGTTGGCAAGTGCACGTGCCAGTTTGCAATTGGCTTCTTGGCTTCTTGCGCGGGAAAAAGAACGCAAAAGCTTATTGCATACATCATGCATGCATGCACATGTTTCCAACTGCTCTCCCAAATCAATTTTGGATGTCAACATCACACTGAACGAGTCACTTTTACGATTCACACATGGGGCTTGGGGTGATCTTCCTTTGCTAACTTCGTCCATTGCCACACACCTAACCACTCTTTAGAAATGTGCCCAGTGGATTAGCACTCTCGTGCCCTAAAAGTAACCAATGCAAGAAGCTTCAGAGTAACATAACAAGTTAACGGCGACAAAAAGTAGCCAAGATTCTACCTTCACTTTGACAAGAGATGCCGTTCGATCAAATGCTTCCAATCAAAAAATATATAAAATTCCCAAAGTGATCTGATATTTCAACAAACCACATTATTAGTAAACACACATACCGTGTCCCGCCCTGCACTGCACCTATCAAAATGATGCTTGCTCTGCGAGATCTACACCAATTCAATTCAAAGACAAGACAAAGACAAAGACAAGACAAAGGCAAGCAATGTGGTAGCTAGCTAGCTAGCTAGCTAAAAAATGGATCTATCATTCGTCGTCACAGCTCGTCGACGAGTCGTGTGCGTTGTTCAAACACGCAGACCCGGGCCTCCGTGTACACCTTCCCGGGGCGGCAGAAGTACCCCTGCTCCGGCGCGCAGTGCTCGTCGTCGGAGCAGACGCAGAGGCCCTCGATGGCGCACCGCGGCCCGACGATGTTGGGGCTGCCCCTGATGCCGAGCACCTGGTCGCTCCACTCGCTGGAGAAGATGCCATCCGGGTCGTACCTGTCCTTCACCTCCAGGAACCTCGCCGCGCCGGGGTACCTGGCGATGGCGCCGTCGAAGGCGAAGTTGCGGTTCTTGCCCCAGTGCGGGAGCGCGCCGTACTTCCTCAGCCCCATCTGCTCGAGCTCGTCGTAGACGTCGGCGTGCGCGCGCGGGACGCCCTCGTCGTAGCTCCGGTAGTAGGTGACGTCGAAGTCCAGCGAGTCCTCCGCCTTGCCGAGGTACGCCGACGAGCGCCTCACGTAGCGCATCAGCACGCCCATCTTGGCGTCCATCCCGCAGAAGGCGCGCGGGTTGAGGTCGCGCAGCCGCTGCACGTCGGCGACGAAGGCGGTGACCATGGACATGGCGACGCTGAAGCCAGACTGGTAGAAGAAAGGCCCACGGATGCGGGAGTCCCACGTGCAGGCGGAGAGGAGCCCGTCGTCGCCGCCGTTGATGCACGTCCCCGACGCCTGGATCCGGTGCTGGAACCCCACTACCGGGTACCCCGTGAAGAACACGCCGTCGTTGGTGAACCCGTACGCCTGCAGCTCGAACGTCGCCGCGGGGAGACGCGCCGCCAGGCACCGCGCCACGTCGGTGCCGTTCTCCTCCAGCCGCTCCTCGGCTTTTCTGGCGGTGAGAAGGCCCAGCGTCGGCTGCGCGCGGAAGCCGATGTAGTTGTTCAGGCCGTTGCCGGGGGTGGAGACGTCGACGCGGTCGTCCTCCCGGTAGATGGCCTTGCCCTGCCGCGGCAGCCATGCCACGTCGCCGAACTCGTGGAGGTCGCCCCACACTGCCAGCTTCTCCGCCATGTCCTTGTCGTCGCGGGTCACGAACGTCACCGACCGCTTGAACTGCGGCTGCAGCTCAAAAGTGACCTGCATGCATGCATGCACAGGCAGCACATCTATCAACACATGCATAGAATGAAATGTAGAACTCACAAATTTAAACCATTTTTTGATCTTTTGATGTCAACGCATTAGATTCGTACTGCGTACTCCATCCATAATATAACCATAAATAAGCATGGTAATTACTCTATAATTGTGAATCAAATTAACTTGTCTTTTACGGCATGCAAGCATACATGCCGCACTTAATCTTGACAGTACAGTACTGACCTGAGAGATGACGCCGAGGACGCCGAGGGAGACCTTGGCGGCGTCGAGGTCGGGGTCACCGGCAGCGAGTTCCCTAACGACGGCGAAGCCCTGGGAGGCCGGGGCAGGCGTGACGATCCTGATCCCGACCACGTACTCGTGCACGGCGCTACCCTTGCCCCACAGCGAGCTGCCGTGCGCGCCGGTGGCCAGCATGCCGCCGACGGTGAGGCCGTACCAGTAGGGCGAGTGCGGCAGCGCCAGGCCGTTGTCGGCGGCTACCCTGACGAGGTCGCGCAGCAGCATGCCGCTCTCCACCGTCAGGAGCCGGCGCGCCGCGTCCACGCGCACCGTCGCGTTCAGCCGCTCCGTGCTGATGATGGTGCCGTCGCGCCCGCCCGGGCACGCCAGCTTCGGGAAGCTGTGCGAGTGGCTGGTGGCCACCTTCACCTTGCGCCGAGCCGCCGCCGCCGATGCCACCGCCGCCACCAGCTCCTGCTCGGTCCGCGGGAACGTCGCGTTCGCCGCCCGGCAGATGGTGCGGTCCGGGAACGACCCGTACGTGCTCGTCACCGTGCAGTCGGACGTGCCGCGGGTGCAGGACACCGGGTCCGGCGGTGGGCTCCCGCCGGTGAGGCTTATCAGGAGGAGGAGGGAGACGGCGACGCGCGTTGTTGCTCCCGCAGCTGGCCCTTGCATGTCTGCCATGACCACCATGAGCTCTAGCTAAGCTACCGCGCTGCTGCTGCTCGTGTCGAATTGGCCGGTCAGCTAGCTGCTTGTGTTGCAGCAAGGCAGAGCTAGAGGGTCTTTAAATACACGCCGGCCGGCCGGTCACTATCGGAATCCTCAAATTTGCCAAGTGCTTTTATGTTTACCGAATGTATTCCCTCGGGCACTCGACGAACAGGTTATTTGCCGAGTGCCGCGCTAAAAACACTCGGCAAAAAAAAAACACGACAAACAGGATGTTTTGCCGAGTGTCAAAACAAAAACACTCAGCAAAGAGGTTATTTGCGAGTGTTAAAAAAATACACTCGGCAAACAAAAATAAATTCTTTTTTCTGAAAAAGAAGAAGAAGAAAAAAAAACTTTGTCGAGTGCTCAGATCCAAAACACTCGGCAAAAAAATAGAAGAAGAAAAAAATTAAAAAAAACCTTTGCCGAATGCCCCATCTAGGACACTCGGCGAACATCAAAAATATCTACTTAACAGCCACGCCCCCTCTCTCCTCCTCAGAACCGTCCGTGCTCCCCCCTTCTTCTTCCCCGTTGCGCCCTCTCTCTCCTCCTCAGAACCGCCCGCGCCCTCTCTCTCCTCCTTCGCGCCCTCTCTCTCCTCCCTCCCTAGAACCGCACGTCCCCTCTCTCTCCTCCTCCTTCCCAGCGGATCTCCGACGCCGCTGCGCCCACGCCCTCTCTCCTCCTCCCTCCCCAGATCCGCATGCACCCTGTCTCTCCTCCTCCACGCCCTCTCTCTCCTCCTCCTTCCCCAGATCCGCCCGCCCCCTCAATCACCTCCTCCCTCCCGGCGGATCTCCGGCGCCGCCGCGCCCGCTCTCCTCCTCCCTCCCCAGATCCCCCCGCGCCCTCTCTCTCCTCCTCCGCGCCTTCTCTCTCCTCCTCCCTCCCCAGATCCGCCCGCCCCCTCTCTCTCCTCCTCCCTCTTGGCGGATCTCCGGCGCCGCCACGCCCACGCCCTCTCTCCTCTCTCTCTCTCTCGGGATCGAGGCGGCAGCCATCGAGCGGGGCAGAGGTCTGCTCCGGCGACGCGTCTCCCGGTGGCGGAGGTCTGCTCCGGCGGCGCTCCGACGGTGGATCTGGCGTGCCCCAACGAGGAGCAGCCCGGATCCGACAGGCGCGAGCGAGGTGGCGGCGCTCCTCCATCGGTGTTGGGCCGGCGATGCGGCGCTCCTCCTCCACCTCAGCTCTACGTCATCTCCGGCACGCCCTCTCTCCTCTCTCCCTCCGACGAGCTCCCTCTGGCCTGGCAGCGTGGATCCGGCGAGCTCCACCACCTAGAGCTCCAGATCCGGCGGGCGGGTGGTGGATCCAGCGAGCTCTGCCACCTTGAGCTCCAGATCCGGCGCACCCCAGGCGGCGGAGGGGACGACAGCGCGGATGGTGGTGGCGGCGGCGGTGCTGGTGGTGCGGGCGTGGTGTCGGCGTGGCTTTTTTTTTATTTTTTTTGAAAAAAAGTTTGCCGAGTGTTTTTTGGGCACTCAGCAACGTCTTTGTCGAGTGCCCGACAAAAAACACTCGGCAAACAAGCGTCTGCCGATACAGCGGTTGCCGAGTGTTGTTTGTCGAGTATAACACTCGGCAAACCCTTTGCCGAGTGTTTTTGGCACTCGGCAAAGATCCTGTATCCGGTAGTGCGCGCGGCGATGGATGGTAGAGGGCCACATGGCGTCGTGCAAATGCAACTGCCTCATCATTTGTTTGTTTTTATATTATATAAGTATATGTCTCAGCGCAGAGCTAGATTCGCTGCGTACAAAGTACAAACTTGTGTTTTGTTATACTGCTACTACTAAATCACATGCAGATGGTGTCATATTGTTGGATCCACAGGGGTATATGAAATGATACGTACACTCAAATCGATCTGTGTCACCGCTCATCGTCATCCACTAACTTTGTTCGATCTAGGCTACCAGAGCACCAATGACTTTCTTCATCGCCATGGATCTACCAGAACACTCAACTACGCTTTTAGAATAGGAAAACGTATTCTAAAAGTGCGCCATGGACTGCGGGTTCGAATATGGAAAAGTGCAGGGGCTCTTTAGCAAAAGTGATAGGCAAAGGGTACGATGAGATCTAAGCCATTAGATCTAAGATGGACGACTCATATTAGAATTGAGGAGGGAGAGGAGAGGCCGGTGCCGGAAACGGAGCCGAGCACGGCGGTGGACATGGTCGGCGACGAGGAGCTCGTCGACGAAGCTTGAATTCAGCCCTAGAGACCACGAGAGAGCAAACCGAAAACACAGGGGAGAAGGAGGAGATGGCAAACTCACCTAGGGGGTTATCTTCGGCGGTGGAGGATCAGAAATGACGAGGGACGCGGCGGATGAGGACCTCGAGCTCAGCGACGCGACGCTAGGGTTCCGAGTTCGGTGGCTCCGAGCTCAGGACGAGGCAAGGCTACGCTTGGGGCTAGATGGGGGCGGCACGGTGCAAGGCTCGGCTTTTATAGCCGGGGAAGCTACGTGGGCGGCACGGCAACGGATGAGGCAGAAGCGGCGCGGAGTCCCGACGGTGGAGTCCGTGTCGTGGATGACGGAGGTAAGGGACGACCCTGGCAGATGGGCCCATGTTGTCAGCGACTACGCGCGGAAGCGAGGCGCGTCCGAGTGGTGAGAAGCTAGGCCGGTGCGCGTGGTTTGGTAGGGCCGCCCACATGCGGAGCGCGGGGAAGGGGAAAGAAGGAGCGGGCCAGCGGCTTACAGGGGAGAGGGAAGAGAGGCAGGCCGGGTCGTCACTGCTGGGCTAGGCAAGGCGAGGGCGCGGGCCACAGAGAAAAGGCCAAGAGCAGGCCTTTAGGCCGAGAAAGGAAGAGCGAGAGTTTCTTCTTTTTTCTAAATTCTATTTTCAAACCATTTCAAAAGTATTTGAAATTATTTTGAATTTTATACAAAACCACCCATCACAAAAATAAGTATGCATCAGCATAAATGCACAAAAATGTTGCTAAATTCCTATGATAAATTTTAATTTAATGAAAATTTTATTTCCCTATGTTTTATGAGCACAAAATACAAAATTAAATCTTTTTAACCCTATTTCAAAAAGAGCAATTTTTAAGGTGTTATAATTTTTTCTTTGTAGCACCCGGTTTTAAGAACAAAACCAGATACACACCATATGTGAGCCCAAGAAGTCAAATCTCACATATGGTGTGTATCTGATTTTGTTCTTAAAATCGGGTGCTACAAAGTGGTATTAGAGCAATGCTGACTGTAGGACGCAAGCCTAATAGAAACTGGTCGATCTAAGGTTTAGAAGTTGCTACAAAAACCCTTGCTCTATGAACCTTGATATTTTTTTTCTACTATATCTATACCCTTACTATTAATCTCTACCTTAGTGCTTATTTTAAAGTCTTTGTTCTCATCTTCACCCCTTGATTTGATATGCTTTTAGAACTATTCCTCACCACCTTCTTGCATAATCTAAAGACGAGTCTTAGAATTGTTACCCCTAATACAATAAGAACAATAGTATCGCAAGTTGAGTCAATGATTGAATTGTGCACCTTTAGTGTTTTGTTGAATTGTCATTATGCTTCTGCTTATTTTAAATCTTTGTAATGATTGCAATTATCTTGTTGGGTGTTCCCATAATTTCATTTAGTTTATAGACCTAAAGTATAAGGATTAATAAAATAAATAGTTGGGTTTTGGTTTTCTTCTGTTTTCCCTATCCTGTCTTATCGGAGCAGCATGTCCTTTTCAGCTTATATCTTTGTCTTTGGACCACCAAAAATTAGAAAAATTCTGGACCACAGTATACTTCAATATCTTTCTCTGACCACAAGAAACAACCCTGATATCTGTTTTGGTTATGAAGTTATGAAAATCACAAGACGATGCAACCGCGCTGTCTAAAATCTGGAGTAGTTTCTGTTGTTCACTGTTTTCGACTACCTAAACTGTGGAATTTGGAAAAGTGTTCTATAAGGAAGTTGTGGAGGATTTGATAATTTTTCCAATGATATAAGATACAACTTCATTGGAGTAACATAGTGAGAGTTATGGCTGTTTTACTGTGCTGCTATTTTTCTATCCCGCGAGTGAAATTGAGTTGTCTGTTCACACCTTTGCACATTGAGTTTCTTTGGGATGTCAGGATGCCCTTATGCTAGTTAATCCATCTAGAAGAAGGTGCAAGCTACCTTATTTGATCTTTTCTTAAGGGGTAGCTAAGTTGAAGAATTAGCAAGATGAAGTTTCATACGTTCTAGTTATTCATTTGGAAGCACCGATTATCTTTGTGGTGGGGTCTTGTCTTGTCTCTCATACTATCAATCCTACCTTGCCATCTCTTGAAGCTACATTTAAGAATGCTATGAATGACTGAGTCCTAATTCATACATGTTGAAAACAGATGGTTGCTACCAGAAGAAGTGCTTCGCAAGGTGCTAGAAGGAATCCTGCCAATTCTAATCCACCGCCATCCAATTCCCCATCTATAGAGCAAGCTTTGATGACGCAGACTCAGTTATTACAGACTAATGCTCAAAGTGTGTTGAACAACCCACATCAAGCACCACCTATTGACAAGCGTGGTGAATTTATGAAGGGATACCCACCGACATTCTCTCATACAAGCGAACCACTAGAAGCTGATGACTGGCTTAGAGTTGTGGAGCGACAATTGGACATAGATCAGTGTGATGACTATGAGAAGGTGCTTTTTGCGCTCAGCCAACTCTAGGGCGCAACACAAGACTAGTGGGAGTCTTACCAGTATGGATGTCCCAACAATGCTAGATAGGTCACCTAGAAGGAGTTTAGCGAGAGCTTCAGGTCGTACCACATTCCCATAAGTGTGGTAGAACTCGAGCCAGATGAGTTTCGGGCTCTCAAGCAAGGATCTATGACTATGTGTGAGTATCATGACATGTTCACTCAGTTGTCACGCTATGCTCTAGAATAAGTGGATAATGATGCTAAGAAATAGAAATGCTTTTTGAAAGGACTGAATGATGA